TAACTCCTCTACGTCATCAATCTGAATGGTGAAGATTACCTGTACCTCTTTTATTATTCTATCTCATAATAAAAACAATAGTAATAACAATGGTAATAAAGATAATAACAATAGTAATAACAGCATATTATCTAAGTGATGAACATAAGAGTACATATAAATGTAGGTCTTTATCATCCTATTAGAATATTTTCGCCAAATCTACACACATTCTGGAGGGGGGGGGGAGGTGGAGGTGGAGGAGATTTGGTATCACTACATCTAAGAGTCAAGTGAAGTCTATAGCGTTTGGCATCACTGGGCTTTGGAACATGCGTATTGGTACTAGTGTTTCGAGCGAGGAAAATTCGCCTCACTCTAACACTAGACTGTGGGTTAATGTTGGTACCATTATAACAGTTTAGGTTGGTACTACTGTTACAAGGACGTCCTGAGTCAGATGTTGGTAATACTGTCTACTGGGGGAGGGGAGGGGAGGGGAGGGGTGGAGAATACTGGCACCCCTGTACACGCGGTTGGCACTAGGGAGAGAGGAAGACTAGCTGGCACTGTTATTTAGATCATTTATCCTGACACCCAACTGACTTTCCTGACACCCTGCTGACGTTCCTGACACCCCGCTGACGTTCCTGACACTCCGATGACGTTTCTGATATTCTGCTGACGTTCTTGATATCCCCGCTGACGTCCCTGACACCCTGCTGACGTTCCCGATATCCTGCTGGCGTTCCTGATATCCAGTTAACAATCCTGACACTCCACTGACATTCCTGACATCCCGCTGACATTCCTGACATCCCGCTGACATTCCTGACACCCCGCTGACATTCCTGACACTCCACTGACGTTTCTGACACCCCGTAAACGGTTCTTAGACTCCACTAACGTTTCTGACACCCCGCTGACGTTCCTAACACCCCGCTGACGTTCCTGACACCCTCCTGACGTTCATACATCTCCCTCGTCCAAATTGCCCGGTCAATAAATCCGAATATGAACTTTGATAAGCATGAAATTAAATCACTATTACCAATAAAAGAGACCAAGAGATAGTGGAGTTAAACCCACCCGTCTGTAAATTCATTGTCTAATTTACATACAACCACAGAACCGATAATTTGGCTTTAGTAGTTCAGAAAAGATTTACTCCTATTTACGCTTCAGCTGGAGATAAGTATTGGTAGTAGATGGTAAGAAAGGCCAAATAACAGTGTAGTTAAGTAGATACATGAATGTTAAGACAGGCGATAAAAGCTTTTGTGTGTACGATTTCATGTTGGTTTACCTATGATCACGGTAAGACCTGGTTAAAGACGCCCCATTATTAAGGTTTCACCCTCCACCCATCTCTCCAATTCTGTCTGTGTTACCTTTCTTAATCGTTTCTCTCTCTCTCTCTCTCTCTCTCTCAATCTCTTTCTCTCGATTTCTCTCTCTCTCGCTCTCTCTTTCTCTCTCTGTCCTTGTCTCTCTCTCTCTTTTTGTCTCTCTCTCTTTTTGTCTCTCTCTCTTCTTGCCTCTTTCTCTTCTTGTCTCTCTCTTCTTGTCTCTCTATCTTATTGTCTCTCTCTTTTCCTCTTCCTGTCTCTCAATTTCGCTCTCTCTCTCTCTCTCTCTCTCTCTCTCTCTCTCTCTCTCTCTCTCTCTCTCTCTCTCTCTCTCTCTCTCTCTCTCTCTCTCTCTCTCTCTCTCTCTCTCTCTCTCTCTCTCTCTCTCTCTCTCTCTCTCTCTCTCTCTCTCTCTCTGCATAACTCTTACTGTTTTATTTACTATTAACTTTACATCGACTTTTTTTTCTTTCTTTCCTCATATTTTTCCTCTTCTCAACCACCTTTTTCTTCCCTTACCTATAACTCAACGTCTATAATAATTTCTGTATAATATATTCCAACCCTCCGTCGTCTCATATATCGACCCATTATAGAACCCTGATATATGCAGTCTTAAATATGGTTTGTTTTCATTCTTTTTTTAGAAATTAATCGGCGTCTTATCTCTCCTTTGGAAAGCTATAATCTGCTATAATTTCTACTGTCAGGTACTCATATTCTTTAACTTTTAAAATCTTTCTCAGTATTACTCGCATTTACAATACTATAACCTAACCTCACTATCGCATTAACAGCACCATAACCTCCATGACAACTCGCTTAACAGCACCATAACCTCCATTCACTTCTCACATTAACAGCACCATAACCTCCCTGACAACTCGCTTAACAGCACCATAACCTCCCTCAGTACCCGCATTAACAGCACCATAACCTCCTTCACTACTCGCATTAACAGCACCATAACCTCCTTCACTACTCGCATTAACAGCACCATAACCTCCCTCAGTACCCGCATTAACAGCATCATAACCTCCTTCATTACTCACATTAACAGCACCATAACCTCCCTCACTACTCACATTAACAGCACCATAACCTCCTTTACTACTCACATTAACAGCACCATAACCTCCCTGACTACTTGCATTAACAGCACCATAACCTCCCTGACTACTTGCATTAACAGCACCAGAACCTCCTTCACTACTCGCATTAACAGCACCATAACCTCCCTCAGTACCCGCATTAACAGCATCAGAACCTCCTTCATTACTCACATTAACAGCACCATAACCTCCCTCACTACTCACATTAACAGCACCATAACCTCCTTTACTACTCGCATTAACAGCACCATAACCTCCCTGACTACTTGCATTATCAGCACCATAACCTCCCTGACTACTTGCATTAACAGCACCATAACCTCCTTTACTACTCGCATTAACAGCACCATAACCTCCCTCAGTACCCGCATTAACAGCATCATAACCTCCTTCATTACTCACATTAACAGCACCATAACCTCCCTCACTACTCACATTAACAGCACCATAACCTCCTTTACTACTCGCATTAACAGCACCATAACCTCCCTGACTACTTGCATTAACAGCACCATAACCTCCCTGACTACTTGCATTAACAGCACCATAACCTCCTTTACTACTCGCATTAACAGCACCATAACCTCCCTCAGTACCCGCATTAACAGCATCATAACCTCCTTCATTACTCACATTAACAGCACCATAACCTCCCTCACTACTCACATTAACAGCACCATAACCTCCTTTACTACTCGCATTAACAGCACCATAACCTCTTTTACTACTCGCATTAACAGCACCATAACCTCCCTGACTATTCGCATTAACAGCACCATAACCTCCTTTACTACTCGCATTAACAGCACCATAACCTCCCTGACTACTCACATTAACAGCGCCATAACCTCCCTCACTACTCGCATTAACAGCACCATAACCTCCTTCATTACTCGCATTAACAGCACCATAACCTCCCTCACTACTCGCATTAACAGCACCATAATCTAACCTATCCTATCCTAACCTAACCTAACCTAACCAGACCTAACCTACTCACATTAACAGCATCAATTCCTCTCCTTCATTAATCTCTCTACCTGGTAATGTCTGGTCTCCCTCCCCATTAGAACTCTTACTCTGGCTAATTATTTATCCAGCGTTGTTTTTGGGAAAGGGATAAATTAATCTAATCCAGAATATTAATAATCCATTTTTTCAGGGAATTTTTTTAACTATATTCTTAGCTTAAAATCTTCACATAAATATCCTGACTCGAATGAATCGATTAATTTCGGTATTTTGTTTCTTATTTTTAGAACCACATAATCCCAATGAAACACAAAAGAAATTCAATATCGGTCACTCATAGGATTCTTATCATCTACCATAATAGTCTCGCCATTGACTCTTGTAACTCAGCTGTAGTCTTCCTAGCAACAAATCATAGACTACAGTTAGACTCCTTCATTAATTTACCATTAATAAAAAGAATTTCTGACAATTAACTTTCTAAACCCTTATAGGCAACACTCTTGAAGTCTTGACACCATTACTCCTGATACACGACCATCATCCCTACTGGAAGTTCTCTCCCACTTTCTGATGGCTTATCATAGCCTCTCCTGAAGACCTGGTCAGTAGCAGGTCCAGGTCCTATACCTGATACTGGAAATTTCTACACTTGACACTCATGGTTTCTTACCATCTATTTTATGTAGTTTTGTCTTATATCATCCTGAAAATAAACCATTACATTTCTGGAGCCTTTCCTACGCCTTCTTTAACCTTCATATCAACCCTGTAAGAATGTTATAATGGTCTTCTCTGAAACCTAAACTTACTCTACTGGACCATCGATCTTCCTAAAATCCTGACACTCTACCATCGATCTTCCTGGAACCTTATTTTCTACCTTACTGGATCGTCCAGTATAAAGTATTTTGGTGTCATATGTTGTTCCGAGTGTCTCTCTATCATGGAAACTTTTGAGGTAATATAGTCGCTCCCATTTTCGCGGCGAGCATCATATACAGTTATTTGAGTGTGTCCACCCAGAGGCTCACTGGATCAACCAGCTGAGTCCTGCCACTGACCTCTCATATGACGTACCAGACTAGTCCATCCTTCGCCATCAGGGGCCGGATACTCAAAAACATTTATGGGACTGTATGTCTTTGTTTACCCCGTAACTGGACTTACAGTCTCAGATCGGTATACTCAAAACACAGATGGCATACTCAAAACACAGATGGTATACTCAAAACACAGATGGTATACTCAAAACACAGATGGTATACTCAAAACACAGATGGTATACTCAAAACCAATATTTGACATCGAACTCCGTAAGTTAACGCAAGTAACTTACACCAGCTCCCGAGGTTGTGTAACACTCTCAACCCGGATGTAGTAGTGACTAATTCCCGATTGTATAGAAAATAATAATAATATATGTTGTAATAATGCTTGTTAGACTTGTTTTATCATAGAATAATGAAGAAAATGTTTTGTACATCAACATAATGAAATATAATATTTCACTTTGTCTTTTTGGTAACTTTTTTGTTGCCATAATAAGCGGCTTTGAGTGTTTGTATTTGTCGCAGTTTGGAAGAGACGCATCTTTTGTCTTCTTACACATTATAAAGTATTTCTTACCAAAACAGAAGGTTTATATTGTTCACACTTAGGGTAAAAATATGTTTTATGACTGAGTAAACTTGCAGATAGAACTTATTAATGTTGTATAGCCGTAAATATCCCTCAGTAATGAAAGCCAAATATGAGGTCAAGTGAACATTCCTGCCAAGACTTCGCCTTGTTTTTCTAATATTCAACCAATAGCCTTAGCCTATTTTCTTATGTGTATGGCTTATGATAACATGAAAGGCTATAAATTTCCATAGGCTAGCGAAAATTAAATGATATTAGGTGTAAAATATGGATTGCAATTAACTTGATTAATAGGTGCCTATATAACTGCTTTTTCAGTCTTAGGCAAATAAATGTTTAAACATGGGGCCTACTTAATTTAGTTAGAACATGAGGATTATTTAAATAAGAAATTATACTAATAGGGTATAGGTTAGATAGGTTTGGTTTGGTTATGTTATGTTATGTTATGGTATGTTAGGTTAGAGAATGTGTACATGGTTTTTGGTGAGCGTCAGGCCGTCAGTGAGACACTTTGTCTAGCAGCTACCTTAGGCCTAGTTCCAGACTTTCCTTGAACATTATCATAGGTAGAGTATTAATTTAAGAAAATTTACGGCTAATCCGATATATTTTCAGGTTTTAAATTGTTGTTTTTTGTATGAACTTGAAGACAATTCAGACCAAATGTTCCCAACATTGAAAGGAAAACACCAGGGTCTAGGCTAAATGAGTAATTTAAGAGAAGTGATTTGTCATTTAGGTTAGGCAAGGCTATACTATCATTAACCAATTTATTTGAATTTGCCCAGAATAAGGCTATCTTAGTATAGCTTATGTGTCTTGTCACAGGCCAACATTATGCAAGGGATTATTTACCTAAATTCTAGTGGGGTAAAACACCAAATACTGTGAGATCTCTGTTAGCCGGAACAATTGGTGAAGAGCACTACCGTGAATGAATGAGTGTTTTCCCGTTAACGAGACAGTTATCACAAATCAAGAAAATATCCCTCATCCCCAGAATGTTTATGGTAATGGAAAAATTTTCTCGGTAGTTCCGGCAATTGCCCATTACATCATCTCTCGAACCCGGAAATATATCCCCCATCTCCGGAATTTTCTCGGTTATCTGGGAAACTTTCCTCATAGTTTTCAGGAAAATGTGCCTCTCTGAAAGTCATTTACCTAAGCCGTAAGTTTCTTGCAAAATCATGCTTTGGGAATTAATTTTAGATAAAATTTCAATTACGGCTTTCAGAAAGTTCCGGGTTTCAAGGATTCCGGCTAACGGAGAAGGCTGCTGTTCCTACCAGAAATCAGTTTCAAATGCGAGTATGTGACAGACTTTGAGGCAAGAGGATGTCTTTTAAATGCTTTTAACACCCTTATTTACTTGAATAATGAACAATTTTTTTCAATTTTAAATGAATACAGAGATTTTAACGCGTTGTGCATTTTTCAGTATTTTACCCCTAAGAGCCAGGCAAAACCTTAAGGCTGTAATTTTTGTTTTTCACAGGCATAACCCTTCAATTCTAGGCCTAATGATAAAACTTTGAATTAGTTAGTATCAACATAAAAACAATACTGTAACAAACTTCTAAACCATTGCATAATTTTTTGTCCTGCAGATTGATCCAGTAACACTTGGACCTCATTTTCCAGTTACCCTGCAATGGATCTTGTTGTAGCTTATCTGCATGATCGAGCTTTACGACGTGAACGAAGGTATCGGGACCCTTTGGATCCCAAAAATATAAGCGATGAAAATCTAATTAGATATAGGTTTCCTCGATGTGAAATTCGAAGACTGTGTTAAGATTTAGATCCATTTTTAAGGCGTAGAACGAGAAGATCTCATGCTGTTCCCATACACACGCAAGTGTTAGTTGCCTTAAGATTTTATGCCAATGGAACCTTTCAACATGTACTTAGTGATACAGCTGAAGCTGTAGCAGGGACAGGCCAAGCAGTCCGAGCCAATGTAGTCCGTAATTGGTTTACTTGATGAATTAAAATCAAATATCAATTCACCAATAAAATTTTCCTCTATGTTTAAATAGTACTTTTTAGTGCAATATACAGAGGTAATGC